TGGCGGTGGTCCCTCTGATATGTTATACGATTGTCGACTGGAACCCTACTGATCGCGTGCTCCAGCAATTTGGTTTTGTACAATCAATTTCGGAAGCACCTCAAAATCTCGACGAGTTGTATACCACCGATCGACATGGTAAAAAAGATGTGGACTGACTGTTGAAGCATTATGAGTGGGTCATGATATGATAGGATCGACGTCGGCACATTCCCCGTAGAGAACCCATTTATGTGGACTATTTTTCGGTTATAGATGGTTATTATGAGTGGTTCCGAGGAAGCACGAGGAGGGAGTATTCATCGATGTCGACAGACACGTCCACCGTCACAACCCCATCGTCCCTCGACTCATAGATAGAGAGCAGGTGCTTCTGATTCGTCCTTAGCTGCAGCATCGAAACCTTCACAGCAGCCGCCATCTGCAATGATGTACAACCCACAGCCAGTTCATATGGCTCTGCAACCATATCAGATGTCACCACCGCCATTCCCATACCAGATGCCGCCACCGCCGCAGAGTTATATGAACCCTCCTGGAGGATATTATGGTTCTATGTTTGCAGATCTAACTTAGGGTTCATATGTTGGTTATTTGGCGTGTCTAGTATCACCACCAATGGTTGCCGCATAAACACATCATGTACAGTTTTCTCACTCATCGATGTCTGTCTTTTCTCAATTTCCCAATTTTCTATGAGCGATGGGATAGTCAGTCATACACCCCTAGGGTCCTTATTCTATGGAGGTGCGACATCGTCATCAGTTCCTTACCAGGCTCCTGATGACGACGACGACGATAGTGGTGATGATGATGATGACGAGAGTGAGGAGTCAGAACAAGTTATACGAAGAAATCCTCCTCGAGACAGACAGCCACTGCCCTGCGGAACACATTCAAGACGCAGGCATCGATAAATTCATACATTTCATTATATTTGTACTTAATTTTTTTGGACAAATAATTGTAATTTTTTTTAATTATTTACCATTTAATACTTAATTTATTTTGTTAATTTTGTTTATTACTTAATTCAAGCGAATGGTTTTATCATTTATTGTTTTTCAATTGTTTTTCTTGTTTATTAATTATTTACATTTTATGACTTAATTTATTTTGTTTATTTTGTTAATTGAAGCGAATGAGTTTATTATTTACTGAATTTTAATCCATTGTCTTGTATTTTTTTATTGTTTAAATAATCGGTGATGATTAAATGACATTAACTTAAAGAAAATTTGAATTAAATAACAAGAAATATTCTTTGATAAACAACAACTACATCAACAATTACTGATGACAAAATAGATGGACATTTTTTTCTAATGTGTCCTGGGTTTCTACAATGCCCATATCTTTTGTTTTGTCTAGATGTTTCTCGAATATCCATATCACAATGAATTTGAGTGGATTTTGGACGACAACGGTCCCTCAATAAAGGTAAATCTGGTACAATCGGAAGCTAATTCTGAACCTCATTAGGGTATTTCTCATTACATATGGGGGAAACTCAAATTCATATACCTTAAACACTTCTGATAGTAGGTATACGGGATCCATAAAATGGTTATAGTCTTGACGGGTATACAAGCAAGCTACTATGACATGAGAGCATGAATACTTCAGAGCTTGAAAAATCCACAGTCGCACCATCTGTCTCATAGATTAACTCTTAACGAGTTAGCTTCAATCCCTTAAAGAGGTCGCGTGATCTATGTGACACAAAACAATTCATGCGTTCTAGAGAAGCTTGTTACAAACATTCCATTTGATACAACAATTATTTTTTGTAGATATGTAACTAATCTAGGGTGATAAACATGACTGCTTTACATCCATGTTTGAGCTTGTCCCCCGAGCTTCGCAAAAAGTGTTATCCTTTTTACCAAAGCTGTTAGAGGTAAATGACGTACCCCCTTTAAGGTCGAATTGACTGCCTCAACCAAGTTGGTCGTCATGTGTCTATATCGATATCCACCATCATATGCATTTTTCCACATTTATTTATTGGTGAGGCTGATGTAATCGTATCCTTCCTCGTTCTTACACCGCAACTCTTGAAGCATGGGCTCAAATGCTTGAGGTAGTAGTTCGTAACTTGAACATCAAATGTAGAACTTACTAACTTTGTTTCTATAAAAATTAAAAATGATTGAAAGAAAAAAATAATAGCATTTTCACATACCCATGCGCACAAGTAATTGACGCTCATCATTCTTCTTGAATCTTCCATGATAGTTCGTAGCATTGTGTCAGATACAATATCTATGTTGGACATAGGGTGATTGCCACATTGGACCTAAAGAATCAATTGCTGCTTTGATCACACCTCTGCGATCTAAAATGACACACATATTTTTCCCCTCGTGATAACATGTAAGCGTAAGCTTTCTTCAACAAGGGCAAAAGCAACTAGAAGAATGTTGCGATTATCATCTTGGACAACTGTCAATAGTAGAACTTGTTTGTATTTTCCATACAAGAATGTCTCGTCAATTTGGACCACGGGCTTGCAGTATTTCACAGTATCAATGCACTGTGGGTAAGTCCAAAAAAGCCAGTATAATTGGCATCGATCACGAAGAACTCGATCATTATGGTATGCATGGCAAGTTTCAAAGTTCATAACTATCGCAGGATTCAACCTGCGCACCACCCTAAACCAACTTGGTAGATTATTATAAGATGCATCCCATTCGCTGTGAAGTTTTTTAATCGCACTCTGCTTTCCAATCCATGATTTTTTGTATGAGACGGAATACCCATACTGCAATTGTATAACTGAAATCAACACATCAATAGTTATATAGGAGCTTGCTTTTACCATGAGCATGATGGCTTGGCATATCATTTCGGAGTCCAAGTTGAGATGATCTTGGTTGATCCCTCCATCACAACATGTGTGAGGACTATTGTATATCGTTAGTTCCCATATATTATTTTTCTCTTCCTCTTTGATACGCAAACCATCCAATTGCATCCATTATCACGTTGGACACAGTGACAGACATACTTTTCGGTCGTAGAGCGGTCGACTCTGGACTGAACAAAATTACGGATATTGTAATTTTTAATTGTCATCATCTCTTCTTCTTTGCTTGAAAACTCCATTCCTAAATATAACTCAACATTCATGGCTGATTAGTTAAATCCATAGTCACCGATATTAGAGACATAGCCGTAAATTCTGGCCCGTACATAGCACCATAGTCAGCTTCATACATGTGTGTTGAAAGTTCAGTGTGTACCACATTTGTGGGAACTTCATCTAAATCATCATCATCATCATCATAATCGGAGTCTATGTTAAACTGTGGTGATTCTTGGTGAACGAATAGTTCATTCTCAATACCATCCACACCTGGCTCACGAAGTGGTTCTTCTGGTGGAGATGAGGGTTCCTCAACGCTGTCCACATTTAGATCGAACAACCTGGTACTTGCATGCCTTCCTCTTGAACTTGAAGGCATATTGACATTGAGATCGAAGAAGCTCGTAGTAGAATGCCACCCCTTGGAGGTTGAAGCCATCGTGTTAAATGGAAACCACACAGATTGTTGTGTCGATGACATCTCCATATTTAGATCAAAGAAATTGATAGATGAATGGTTTCCCCTTGAACTAGACACGATGTTGCCATACGGATTGTTTGTGGACCCACCTCGGTACAGATCGTAAGGAGTTGCTAATGAATGTCTCCCCATTGAACTTGATGGGATGGTATCATGATGCGGATTTCCCATTATGGCTTTAAAATCATTATACATTACTGTAGTTGAGTTGTCAACTTGATCATCTTGTTGAGCCAGCTCATAGTGGGAGCATAATGACATACCCCGAATAACACGTACTTTAACAAACTTTGCATACATCTCCGTATCGGCGTCTGAAAAATGATTTTGAGAATCAACCATCATCACAAAATCATCGCAACATCATCATTGATCAATAGTTCGAACGCTGTATAAGTTAACGAAAACACTAATGTTGGAAATCTATACTGAAGCGATGACAATCTTCTAGTACTTCCAACATGAACATTCATTGAAATCTTCGCTATCAGCTCCTCAAGAGTTATGTTTCTCTTGAATGATATTTTAACAGAATGATTTGATGCGAACACAACGCCGGTTTCATCTTCCCGAATTTCTCAATCATAGTAAACAATAATTGAAATTTGAGTCATTCTAAGAATTTGAAAGATAGACAGTCTTATATCTGCAAAAATAATAGTTGAAATAAGTCTAATTAAACAAATAATATATAAATTAAAATATAACGCAATACAATATTTAAAAATAAACGTAAATATTTTAAATAATATAATTTTATATTATTACCGTATCGGCAAAAATGATTCGACGTATAATCTCGTTTTCCAATTTTACAACCACAAAAAATAATAGAAAATAATTAGTACAATATTTTTTTTCAAATAATCCTATATAAAAAATATTATATATTAAAAAAATTACCTTACAACGAAAGATCGAACGAACTTGTGAAGCAAAGATAAGAGAAATTGATGGGTGATGTTTACGGGTTGAGAGAATCTTATTTATAGCCGAGGAGAAAGTTTAAAAGTCGGGAAATTCATATACAATCATGATTCGTGCCTTTCTGGCGTGTGTGTTAAACTTGCAAAAAGACGTTGATGATGATCCGCGCCTTACGCTGATGTGGCGCCAGCTGGAATAAGGCGCTGATCATCATCCACGCTTTACCACATGTGGCGCCACATCAACGTAAAGCGCGAATTATCATCCACGCCTTTCTGCAAAGTGTGCTAGATCGCTAAAATTTTATCAAACGATGTCTGACATGTAAATAAAAAAAGTAAGGTCATTTTCGGTAAATACGCCCAACATTTAAAATATATTATTCACGCTTCTAGAAACTTGTCTTCAACTCCATCCCTCTTCAACTATTATTTTAATACCAAGGTTTCAGCTGAAAACATGTCTTAAACACAAGCATAAATATAGATATTAAAGTGAAACATGGCAATAGTACCCACCGGCCTCAACCTCTGTCTGTCCCGTTTCAACCCTAAGCAAATGATGATCCCTACCACATTTCGTCGTCAACAAGTTGTATCAGACAATCATATCTACTGTGCTGCGTCGTCCACCGCACGCGTTTCTTGTTCGGATCAGCCGAATGACGGAAGGCGTTCGGCAAATTACCAGCCGACTATATGGAACTACGATTTCCTTCAGTCCTTAAACAATGATCAAGCCGTGCGTAATTAACCTCAGCCCACTATCTATCTCCCTTTCTTTCCTTGTTTGATTAACTATTTGGTGCTGAATTCGCAGGATGTCATATACAAAGAGAGAGCAGCGAAGTTAGAGCAGGAACTGAGGTTTGCTATTAATGACGAAGATGCAGAGCCTGTGAACTTGCTTGAATTGATTGATGACATCCAACGGCTGGGGTTGGGGCATCGCTTTGAGATGGATATCGATAGAGCCTTGCGGAAATTTGTGTCTTCGGACGACGGCGGTGTCGCGATGGAGGATAATCTGCATGCAGCAGCTCTGAGATTCAGGCTCCTCAGGCAACATGGCTACGGGATCTCTCAAGGTAAGCGTTTTTCTTTCTTGCTTTTTTTTTTTTTTTTTTTGAAATACTCTCAAGGTAAGCGTTGAATCATTTGAAAATGGAACTTTTTTTTCAAAGTTGCATTGGTGTTGATAAATTGTCCGAATGCAGATATCTTTAAATCTTTCAAGGACAATAAGGGAAACTTCAAGGGATGCCTTCATAAGGATGTCAAAGGAATGTTGAGTTTGCATGAAGCTTCACATCTTGCCTTTGAAGGAGAAGATCTTATGGACGGAACCCTACAGTTTTCACGAATGCATCTCAGGGATTTACATGGAGTTAGTAGTTCCGAAATATGTTTATTAGAACAGGTGAGCCACGCGTTGGAGCTCCCTTTGCATCGTAGAATGCTAAGGCTAGAAGCTCGGTGGTACATCGAAACTTATAGCAGAAGCGCTACGGTAAATCCAACTCTACTCGAATTAGCCAAGTTGGATTTCAACATGATGCAATCAACGCTTCGAGAAGATCTTAAAGAGATGACTAGGTAAGACAAATCATAATGAACCATTTTGTTTATCACTTGCAGCTTTGACAACATCGCTTTCATGAATGTTCGATTAGATGGTGGACAGGTACGGGGCTAGCGAGCAAGTTGAATTTCGCAAGGGATAGGATCATGGAATGTTTCTTTTCGACTATCGGACTGGTTCCGGAACCCAAATTCAGGAATTGTCGAAAAAATATAACCAAAGTGGCTTCCATGGTAACTATAATCGATGATATTTACGATGTTTATGGCACGATGGATGAACTCGAGTTATTTACCGATACTGTTCAAAGGTGGGATGTATGTACTGCGAAAAATCTTCCCAAGTGTATGGAGCTATGCTTTCTTGCCCTGTATAACTCTGTTAATGAGATGGCTTACGAAACTCTTAGAGATCACGGACAAAACATCATCCCATACTTAACAAAAGCGTGGACTGATCTATGCAAAACATTCCTGAAAGAAGCAAAGTGGGAACACAGTAAACATGTTCCAACATTCCAAGACTATCTTGACAATGCATGGATATCTGTGTCTGGACATGTCTTTTTAGTACACGCCTACTTTTTACAAACTTCAAGCATCACTGGCGAGACACTTGACAGCTTGGAACAATACCATGATGTCCTTCGTTTTCCATCCACTATATTTCGACTCTGCAATGACTTGGGCACTTCAAAGGATGAGTTGGAAAGAGGTGAAAATGCGAACTCGATAACATGCTATATGAAGGAAACCGGTTGCTCGGAGAATGTGGCTCGACAACATATAAGTGATTTAATCGACAGTTATTGGAGAAAGATGAATAGATGCCGAGTTGATGGCTCCCCATTTGCAAAACAATTATTAGAAACAGGTATTAATCTGGCTCGGATTTCCCAATGTATATACCAACATGGAGATGCCCATGGATGTCCAGATAATCTGTCTAAGAACCGAGTTCGATCATTGATTGTTGACCCTATTTCTATCGACTAAGGAATAGTTTCATAAGTTGTGCATCTTTGTCTAAGAGGCGAAGGTAGGGGATGGCTGGTCATGTAACCCCTCAAACCGATGCGGATAACTCGATCCGATCTGGAGTGTCACATTAGGGCCACCGAAGCGACCCACTGTAAAAATCTTGGAAAATTTAAAACTTTTGTCAAAACATGTAACTCATAAAATGATTTATTAGTATGCAGAAATAAAACAGATTTTCAGACTCAAATATAAAACAAAATACAATTACATGTCCCCTAATCACATGTACCATACTCTGCAAACAACACCAGAAGAACTCCCTTACTGAAGTTGATAGATGCACTGGTACAATTCTTTTAACCTGCAATGGTGAGTAATATAGTGAGCTTCGGAAAAATCAGTAATACAGAACTACCAGATGATGTTGAAGAACGTGAAGATACAGATAAACATATATTTCCTTATTGGTTCATATATCTATAGATTTTTAGGCTGAGCTGATGTCTCATTGATATCTCAGGTAGTAACAGATAATATTCAGTTCAGATGGAAATATTTCAGATGTCTAGGTTCATGAGATCAGAATAGGTTATCTAGTGTGTTCCCTCAAAACCAATGAAAAGATATAGATCTTTTTAAAACATATTTTTATTTATCAAAAACCATAGTAATCCCTCCAACCGAACACATCATAATGTGTAGGTTCCCCATAACCATACACCCCTGCACAATAGTAAGGCCCTGAGCACAAAGCCGAGGAACTTGCAAATATACTTCCTCCAACAATACTCACAAATAAAACATTTACCGTCAATAAACGAAGATATAAAAAACAAAACATAATTTAAATCAAATATCATAACAAAATTCAGGTCAAGAATCAAAACAAAATTCATATAAGATGCATAACAGAATTCAAATCGGAAATCAGATAAAATATTCATATGAGTAGGGAACACACTAGAGTTTCCATATATTATTCAGAGATTTTGAATAATCTTATCGGGCGGAGAAACACAGATCTTCAGTTTACCGATAGAATGGCGGAAGTTAGAATCACTATTGGAAGAGTTCATTAACTGACAAAATCATCATTTATTCAGAATATGATTTATCAGGATCATCTTATTCGGACATTTTTCGAAAGCTCTAAGTAATCATAAGGGTATTCAGAATCCTTTACATCTGAGTTACTTGTGTTTTCATACATGACCAAAGTGATTTGAGCTGATAAGGAAGAATGAAGATTCAGGACCTTTACAATCTATGTCGATTGATCGGATTATTGAACAACTCTTAGATGAATAGTTCCCAGAACTAATGCTTGTCGACTAGTCAATTCATTGTCATTCCAGGGTATTTACTCTTTAATACCATAAATTCGTGTTCATAGATAATCTTCAGAATCATCGCTGAATAGATCTTCCAATCTCTTTATTTTATTTCCACTCTTCCACAATATTATGAAATGCTGACGTGCTTGATTTGTAGTTCATAACCCAGAACGACAGTACATCATGTAAGTTCATAAACATTCACAGACTCGTCTAAATCACTTATTTAGTTCTCAATCATTGAGCTTACTTAAATTACTTAGTAGTCAAGTCTGTCCCAGTTGCTTCAGATTTTTCCAGAGTAATTCAGACGTTTCTGAATTTCGATACATATTATACTTCCGTTCAGTTCAATTTAGTATTCGTAGTTGAATTATCTAACGAATATCCACTTCTTAGTGTCGAATGCGATCTAGAGATTGAGATGAGCTGAGTACTTTCAGAATTATCATCGATCCAGACTTGAGGAGATGAACTAGGATTCGAGTGGTATCTATGTTATTCAGGTACTGACATAGCATTAGCATTGGTCAACTCACTTAAGTTGAGTTCCATAACTTTTAAGGGTAGTACAACACCCATGTTTATTTGGATTTCTTAATTAATCCAATATATTTACTCAGTCTAGGCCATAAGGGCATTTTAGTCATTTTGGTACTTAATGTTTTTCTATTCATTTCAAAGCTTGAGGATATCTATTCATTCATGGACTTGGTGATATTCTTGAGTTATTTTCATTATAGGGGTATTTTGGTCATTTTACAAATCTAGGATATTTCAATCCTTTTCTTCTATCCGATCTTATTATTTAATTCAAATTTATCATTTACTGCAGTCATTTCCAACAATTATGTCAAAAGAGCATCCTCGATAAATTATTCCTTAGATATTTACTCATAACTCGGAGATTTATGGATTATAAGGAATTTTCTATATAAACGTGTGAACTTAACGATAAAACTAGTAATTCATCAATTTAGGCATGAATTATTGACTATTTTTCCCTCTCAAGGGTAATCTCGTAATTTTTTAACCATATAATTTCGGTATTAAAACTCTTAACAAATATAATTATAATTTAGAGATTCTAGAGTTAATCGCTTTCCCGGATAATCTCTAAACTTTAAATTATTCATTATCAACTTCTAGTATCTTGTACAAGCCATCTTGGGTTTAGAAATCGGTTATCCAGATTTCCTAAGCAAAACTAGTATTTTCCATACGCACCAGTAGTTTCATCAGATCAATATGTCGTTATAAACTTTTTATCCACTTCCAGGGTCAATTCTTGTCTTTTTACAATATAAGGGTATTTTTTTAATTTTACCTAATCGAAGTATTCTTATAATTTATCATCTAAGCACCTTTAATGAGATAAATTATAATTTACATATTTAGGATTGATTCTTTTATCGCTCAATCACAGAACTTGTAATTCAATAGTCTTAACTAATTTATCACTTAAACTGTATTCGGTTCGAATCCATCTATAATCAAACATGCATAATAGACCAATCATATACATTCATGCATTTTTATCCACTTCCAGGGTCAATTCTTGTCTTTTTACAAGATAAGGGTATTTTTGTAATTTTACCTAATCGAAATTTTCTTATAATTTATCATCTAAGCACCTTTAATGAGATAAATTATAATTTACATATTTAGGATTGATTCTTTTATCGCTCAATCACAGAACTTGTAATTCAATAGTCTTAACTAATTTATTACTTAAATTGTATTCGGTTCGAATCCATCTATAATCAAACATGCATAAAAGACCAATCATATACATTCATGCATTTATCTATTATCAACATGTTCCATAAAGCATAAAGAGGTAGTAATGTATTACTTCGGTTTTCATGCCATACCGATCTACCATTTAAACTCTATTTGATCGCCCTCGAACTTGAATTTCAACTTCTAATAATTCATCGGATAAAAAGCAACCGAATTTACATCAGAAATGAAACTTAAATGAGAAACCATATTGAATCCAAAGGTAAATCACTGGAAAACAGCTTACTGGGTGCGAATTTGGCAAAACGGACTTCCGATTCAGACTCAGGACGTCGAAAAACATAAAATATGACTTTTCAAAAATTTTGACTTTCGAGCTTCCAATCTTTCTCTCACGTTTCCAAACCATCTCAATTTTGAATTTAAATCCAAATAAATTTCCCTCACCATAAAAATAACTTATTAGAAATCCTTTTTCATATAAGGGGGCCAAATTGATAAAATTAAGACTTTATGGGATCAATTTAATAATTAGCTACCAAGGTTAGTGACCAAAATAATTTTATTAAAACCAGTTAAGCCATGATCATAATAATTTGAAAACTAAAAGACAAGGTTAATCTTATACCAAACTTGGATGACTTACCTTGTAATTATCCCTTTTTCACTTCCATCACAATTTTCCAATTCCACGTGCTTGAATTTCTTATTCCTTTTCTTCTTTCCTGCGATATTTCCCCTTTAAATTATGTGTTGAACTGTCCCCAATTAAAAAAAGTTATTAGCTATCCAAATTCTACACCGATTGTTATCTAGCTAAAACAATTCGAAAAGTGAAAATCAAGTGGTTAAATCACAAACCAAGGATTGGAATCAAGGGTAGGTGGCAAAACAAAAGAATCCTTTTGAATCCCATCATCTGAAGGAGGTGGAGTTGAATCCTTCAAACCATACAGCGACCCATAAAGGAGTCGTGAAGATCATTAACTCGCTCAAAACATCCCCGATCGTGGGTTTCCTTAGAATCTCCAAAAGAACTGAACCCAAAGCCATCTTTAAGCATATGTTTATAAAATAATTTTAATAATTTTATCTTGAATAGCACCCTAGCCTAGGTGACAAAGACAATGACTCCATTATTGCATAAGGACATGGGTTTCAATCCCACCTAAAAGTTTTTTTATTATCACTAAAAGGGAGGGGCAATCTCAAGCTTGGGTCCTTGAACTTTCAGGAATTTCAAAAATTACCATAAAATTTTTAGAATCATACAATTTGGTCTCTATAAATATTTACCCCAACTTCAGGGTGTGTTAATTCTCCCCTCCTTAAAAGAATTTTTCCTCGAAATTCATTCATGTCACAGAATTGTAGAAATGGAACTTCCATCAGTTCTTTCATATCTTTCAGTAGCTTTTACAGAAGTATTGATACTCTATTAATCCTTAACCAGTTAAGTATACATTTCTTCAGAACTCTCCCTCATTCCAATAAAATAATCAGAACAGATTTATTTTTGTGGAATCAATTCAGCCTTGGTTACGAGAATAGACTTATAGAGCAATAACATATCCCAATTTCATTTCTGGAGTTGGATCGGAATTTCTCAAATGAGTAACTCTCACATAGTTCGTGAGGACTTTACAGAATTCAGATAAATGTTACTGGTATTCTTTTATGCAAAGGTAGAGTCTTAATGGATAAAAACTTAGGTTTGCTCGTTATAGATAGGGACTCAACCTTGGAGTTCCGGCTTAAAGAGGTACGATTGTAGTCTAGGGGCATGTACTGATCAAACATCTTTTGACATTCGACTGGCCGGTCTATCTTGAAAATTTTGACTCAAACCAAAGCTCTGATACCACTAAATGTAACATCCTCAAACCGATGCGGGTAACCCGATCTGATCTGGAGTGTCACATTAGGGCCACGGGAGAGACCCACTGTAAAAATCTCGGGAA